TTATAGGGTATGTAACCGAGCCCGAGCCGAGCCAAACCAGAGCTTTTCGCAATTCTACCGAGCCCGAGCTCAAGCTCGACTAGCCCAAGCTCGCCCGAACACAAGCCGCGCCCAAGCACTTCCTTGGAGATGACGAGCCAAGCCCGAACAACCCAAAGCTTGGCTCGGCTCGGTTCATTAGCAGCCCTAGAGGGAGGTAAGTGATGTTTTCCCTATTATTTATAAGCAGGTACACATGCATGTAACCTATTTCTCTCTCTCTCTCACACAGACACACACACAAAAACCAAGACAAACACATTATTTTAAGTGAAATACAGTATAAGCTAGCCTTCCTATCTCTGCAAGTTCATTTTCCCTTTTATTAATGGAGGAGAACATGCTTCCACTACTGCTTCTTATAATGGCGCTGCTATCATGCAGTGTAATGGCTGCACTACATTGTGGAAACTGCTGCCACACTCCGGTGCCATTTCCACATAGCACCGGACCCAATTGCGGTGACCCAACGCACAAAATCCGGTGCAATGTAGGCACACTATGGTTAGATGCACTCAACAGATCATCATACATTATCATATCCATCAACCCTGAGACTCAGAGGATGATTATCAGGCCAGCTAGTGTTACTCCGAACACGTGCCTCGCCACTGATTTCCACAGCGAGGGCATTCGGCTCGATGAAAATCTTCCCTTTAACATCACCAGCAGCAATACCATGTTGTTGATGAACTGCACAGATGCTATGTTTCAGCAACAGCTACCCATGAATTGTTCATCATCTTGCATTTGTCACGCATACATTTCTAGTACCCCATTGATGGCCACATGCATGCGCGAGTCGATATGTTGCATGTTCAGAACAGGTGGGTCTGAGAATGCGTATTTAATCAGGGTTCGTGGTGACAGGTGTTCGGCATACCATAGTTTTGTGAATTTGGACCCTTCATTGCCGGTGGCTAAGTGGCCAGAGCCCGGGGTGGAGATAGAGTTGGTGCTGCCACGGGAACCCATTTGTAGGTTACTGGGGGAGTGCCGTGAATTTCGGAACTCCAAGTGTTTGCCGGATCCGGAAAATGTTGGACAGAGGAGGTGCCTCTGTAATGCTTGCCGGCTGTGGGATCCCGTCCATGGATTATGTCAAAGTGAGTAGACTGTTGCTACCAACCTAAACTCATTTTACAACACTCCAATACATTTTTTTTTTGTTATTATTATTACTTAAAATGAGTGATGTTGAATTATCACCATCTAAATCATAATATATGCTTCTTTTCTTTTCTTTTCTTTCAATAATGATAGTGTAAGCCCTCCTCATATTTCTCGTACCATATACACCAGATAATTATAATAATAATAATTCTAAACAAGATTCCATAATACATGTCTTGTTACGACTCACAATTTCATTACATTCCATAATACATGTCTTGTCCCGACTCACAATTTCATTACATTCTGCCTATAATATTTGTAAACAGAGTTTCTAGAATTTTTTTTTTTTTTTTTTTAGATAAGCTTATTCAGTTATTTGTATCACTTTGGCTTGAGCTTTCAACATTTCCTATAGGGAGATAATGTGGTCATTCCATATTATTAACTTGGTTCATAATTTATTTTCATTCATTTTAATCTAGATAAAAAGGGTCGTGAATACTATTGTACATTTTAATCTTATGTAATTTCAAAACCAAGCCTTTTTTTTTTTTTTTTCATCGGAGGTAGTGTTCTAAATTATTCTTCCCCATATCTTGGAGTATGTATGTACTCCGTATTTGCTAGGGGCTACAATTCATTGAACAACCAATCACATGGTACTATGATGAAACATAATTAATCTGGAGGGCTACATATTTTCATTGGTATGACCAAACCAGTAGCGTTAGTAGTTTGCAATTGAAAGGAAACATCAAGAATTAGAATGCAAATCGCATACTTGTAGGCATAAAGTCGTTTCCCCATACAAATACTATGAATACTGAAATGCTAACATCTAGGCCAATTTCTTTCAGACATGTTTAGTTGGTTTGACCAACAGTTTAATAAAGATTAGTCTAACCTGACCAATGGATTAGATAATTAAAAAAGATTCATATCATATATCTTATTTAGCTTTGAAATCATAATATATATTAAAGATTAGTGCAAAAAAGACAACCCTGCCCCCTCCTCCTTGTAAAGGAGGCTGCAACATTCTTTTATATATTTAAATAATTATTTAATATATTGTTATAATTTATATCTGATTATTTACTAAATTGTTATAATTTTTATAAATCGGTGATGCAAGTTTAATTTTGTGTTTTTTTCAGGTAAATAATGCAATTTATTTTGTTGTGTAAAAGTGTTATTTCAGTATGAAATTTTTTTTTTTAATCATAAGAAAGAAATATTTTTCCTTAGGCTGATATAAAAATATTATACATATACTGATATAGATAAAATTTTTAAGTTAAGAACTACTTTATACATACCAATCTCTTCTGTCTTTCGTTCGGCAAATAAAACCTGCATCTCTCTTTTTGCAGAGTGTGATCATAAAAGGATGCAAAGTTCACAGGAGCAAAATGGCAGTCACTGGAGGTATGTATCAGCCCTGTCTTCTTTAGTGTAGTCTTTGGTTAATTTATGAAGCTTAAAGACTAATTAATACTATATGTCAAATGCAATTAATCTTGGAACTAAGGCACAAAATAGTAACTAAAATCCAAATTAATTTTAGCACTGGTTGTAATTAACCAAAACACACACACACATATATATATATACATGTGTGTGTGACACATTTGATTTTTTGGACCAGGTGCTGTGGGACCAATTGTTTTCATAGTCCTAAGCATAATTCTAGTACTCAGACTACGTCACCATATGAAAAAAGAAACCCGAAAGATTTTAGCCAAGGAGCGAGAAGAAATCATGAATGCCAACAATAGCAGTGGAAAATCAGCCAAAATCTGGACAGGCAAAGAGATTAAAAGAGCAACAAACAACTTCTCCAAAGACTACCTGCTCGGCTCTGGTGGCTTCGGAGAGGTCTTCAAAGGCATCCTTGAAGACGGAACCAACACAGCTGTCAAGCGTGCAAAGCCCGGCAACACCAAGGGTACAGTTCATCTTCTCAACGAGGTTCGAATTCTTTGCCAGGTGAACGTACCACAGGAGTCTAGTGAGACTCCTAGGATGCTGCGTCAAGCTTGAGCAGCCTCTATTGATCTTTGAGTACATTTCCAATGGAACACTCTTCGATCACCTACACAGGTTATCCTATAGCAAGCAGCTTCCACTTACTTGGCTCCTTAGGCTCTGCATCGCCCACCAGACAGCAGAAGGCCTTGCTTATCTCCACTCCTCTGCCGTGCCACCTATTTATCATCGTGATGTTAAATCAAGCAACATTTTGCTAGATGAAAAGCTTGAAGCCAAAGTTTCTAATTTTGGGCTGTCTAGGTTGGTGGAGAAAACCAAGACTGATTATAGCCACATCTCTACGTCTGCTGAAGGATCGCTTGGATACTTAGACCCTGAATACTACCTAAATCTTCAATTAACTGATAAGAGTGACGTTTATAGTTTTGGGGTAGTTTTGTTGGAGCTGTTGACTTCAAAGAGAGCTATTGATTTTAATAGAGAGGAGGAAAATGTGAACCTAGTGGTATATATGAAGAGAGATTGATGGATGAAGTTGATCCATGGCTTAAGGTGGAATTGGAGACTATGGAGGCGCTTGGGTATTTGGCAGGGGCGTGTTTGGATGAGCGGGGGCAGAACCGACCTTCTATGAAAGAATTAAGTTGCGATAATCAGTATCGTTGCAGGTGAGGCTTCTAAGGTTTAATTGTATGCGTTGGCACCATCATGAATAACAGGTGCCAAGATTTTGAGTGTTTTTCACCCCCTTTAATTTGTTGTTGAACTATGCTTAGAAGCTCTCTATTGACAGCCTTCTGAGTGTTCTAACTTGTGCGTTCATACCATGTGTATTAATCCATCAAAATTAAAGTTATTAACATTCTCTTTTCTTCCTTTGAATGCTTAAAAATAGTTTGATAACATTTTGGGTTACGAATTTGGACCAGTTAATGACAGTGATATTCAAATAGAAATGCCTGATTCAAGTCTTTGGCCGACTGTCCTTGGATGCAAAACAACGGGACGCACTCATGTGTTGCATCTAAGGATGCAATTAATTCATCGATTGGACATTTCTGTCCAACTATTATTTTTCATTAATAAATACATCAATTTAACAATGTTGTCAGTTGGGACTTGGGAGGTATATATGATCAATTCGCTGTAATTGCACTAATTTTTTTAGAATAATGTTGTTTCACGCGTTATGTTGCCACACACGTTTGTAATCCCCAAAGTTATTGCCATGCTACTTCGTCGAACATGGGTCGGATGCGAATATAGTGGACTTCTCAGTTGAAAGACCGTAATTTGCGGCGGCTGAATAGATTTCAATACACAATAGTACTAGTAGTAAAAATTAAACGTCTTGAACACCTTTGTGTTTGTACATGTGTGTGCAAGCCTTCTTGCATCAGATAAATTCTACGATACCCTCAACCAACTTTAATACCTTTTTATATTCATTAAATAACTAATTTAATTTCCACATTTAATCTTAAACCAACTTAAAAGTTTTGTTAAGTCCAAAAAATAAATAAACTTAAAAACTTTTGTTGTTAATTATACAACACGTACAAAGAACCTTTCAAGAAAAAAGAAAAAAAAAATGTTGGTCTTCTGACTTGTTTGGTTAGAACAGTTGAGTGATTTCACTTTGGTGCCCACAATATGAATTTAGTATAGACACAGAATCCATTGTGTCTAATGAGGACATATATAAAAAGAGAAATTGATATGCATCAAATGAAGGGGTACGCCATTAGTTTTTATCAGATAATCAAATAATTAGCCATAAAATTAAATTCCAGCAACATTAACATCGATCACGTACAATCATATATGGTTACCTTAATCAAAACCCAAAAAGTTCACATGAAAGAAGAAAAATCTACATTTCCCGTTCCGAAGATAACGTTCTGTACCACTCCAAGCGCTAGCTTCCCAACAAGCGAAGCCATCTTCCTCCCATTTGTAGTAGTACTTGCACCTCCTCCTTCACCTTGAGGTGGGTTGGCATTGGCATAGTTGTACATATTAGTATACGGAGAATTATTACAATAAGCAGAAGCCACCCCATAACCATAACCACCGTAAGGTGGTGGCTGCGTCGGTGGAGGACCACCAGGTTGAACCCCATAACCGTAACCATTATAAGGTGGTGGCTGTCCAGGTTGAACCCCGCATCCGGTCAACGTTGGTGGATGACATGGTGTCAAAACGCAGTTGAAATGAATATCAATCCCGCAAACCCCACACCTGTAGCGCCAAGAAGTGCATGATCCACCACAAACAAAACACCAAGTACGTACAAGTGATGATGGTGTCTGGAGGCTCAAGGGATGGAGTGGATCGCTCGCGTGTTGCATGTATTGGGGCAATTGGGTGCAAAGTGGGTGCACATCGAAGTCGCAGTCCTTGCACCTGTAGAATAGTTTTTGGAGTTCGTCACCGCAAACATCACAGACGCGGTGTGTGTGGCGCGTGGCTTGTGGTTTTCGGAGGACCTGAGTGAGTGGGTGTGAGTGCATGAAGGAGGTGAGGGTTTGGGGGCAAGTTCCGCAGTAATCATGCAGATCGAAATCACAACTGTTGCAGTGGTACCTGGTGCCCACTCCTGGGGTATTGCAACCATCACAGAGGTAGTCTGTCTCCGCATGAAGCTTTACTAATCCATGACCTGGATGGGTGAAATGCTCTATACTACTAGCCATCTCTCCGTCTTTTTCAGCTCTTTCTCTCTTCAAAAACTTTAATGCTTGAATATCATTTCATCTCTCATTAAAAACACATATTCGTATACACTGTCATATGCACTTGAAGCTACTTGGAAAATTTTAATTAGTTGACTATTGCCGGGGTGGCAAAATAGGTCAAGAATCATCAACCCACCTATATCCGTCCGCTTTTTAATGATTATGGGTCAACTATATTTAATTGATGGTCAAGATGGATTGGGTAATTTTTAACCACTTAATTTGAGGGTCAAAATAGGTTGAATATGAACCATATTCAACCCATATTTCACCCATCACATGATAAACACACAACACATATCTATTCTTATATTACACTTAACTCATTTCTCTCTCTAAAATTTTCTCTCTCACAATCCCCCCCCCCTCTCTCTCTAAATTTGTCTTTTATTAATCCCTTCCCTATAAGTTTCTCTCTCTATAAACTTCTTTTAAAAAAAATAAATAATTTTAAAAAATTAAAAATTTTAAAAACCCAATTCTTGATGAAAATAGGATATTAATGATAATAAAGCTGTCTCAGAGCTACACTTCTCCTACAACTCCCTCAGTATGGCCATCGCCTTCGCCCACCGCCCGGAGCACTACATGCTGTGGCGCACCACCAGAGCCGCCGCCGCCGCCCAAACCGCGGCAGCGCACACCACCGCTGCCCCTACTGCCACCTTCCCCATCAAGAAAGAAACGCACACGTCACTATACACAGATTTGTTAGGAAACGTGCAAGTTTTAAAAACTTTTCGAGGGATTTTGATTCATAGATCTTGATTCATCACATAGAGACAAGTTTTATGAAAAAATAAAAATATGATGTATCATTCAATTAATAGATTGAATACTTACATCAAAAGTCTGAGTAAACCTTTAAATCTTTCCTCTAAAGTGAATGTTCTCACTTATTGTATATCCCTTAGCAAGATGCCTTCTCCTTGGATCTCCATCTTCTTGGTAATTGTTTTACCTTTAGGAATCACTCATAAGCCTCCATGAATGACCTTGGAAAACTAGGCTTGTGGGAGCCTCCATTAGATGAGAACATAAACCCTAATTTTCTAGAGAGAGAAAATAAATTCCTTTTTCCTTCTTCTAAAAATCATCCCCAAAATATACATAGACCATGTATATTTATAGGCAACATAAAGGTAAAGAAAAGGAAACAACGAATCCTTCTCAATCTCTAATTTACATGTCTCAAATCTAATATGATTCCAATATCAAGTTGGGCTATGAGTGAGAATCCATTGGGCCTATTATTTTATTGGCTACAATGAATTAATAATTGGCCCGGTCCATGGACCCAATTCAATTAATTCATAAATTAATTTCTACTCCACTAAAAGAAATTAATTGAATTCCAATTAAATAATAAATAGCCTCTAAGTCAATATTACACTTTGACCCCTCTATGCATAATTAGTTATCGGATAAATAAAGCCATCAATCCGACTACTTAATTAATATATTTATTTTGGTACCTTTGATTATTTCTGGCTCGATCACAATAAAACATTTGTTTGACAAAAATAATAATTTAAATAAATAAATATAGAATAAATCATTTTGTCTAAAAACACACGAAGGCCTTCGAATTTACTTTGTGATCAACCATAATCAATACAAAATAAATACAAGTAGCAATGATGCAAATATTGAAAATATAACCCTCTAACTATAAATTACATAACTACCCAAAGTGTCGGTCTAAGGATCCCGAAGAATCCGCCGAACAAATCAAAGTAATTATTAATTAATAAAAGAGTTTATACTTTTCTCATGCTTAAGAGTCAAATGCCATGACGGTGATAGGGAGCAATTGCATACGACGGCTCTCGCAATATATCTCAACCTAACGCGAATCCAGTTCAAGTCTTAATTAATTATGAGTCCATCCATAATTACTGACTATGAACAATTTATGATTACTATTTATATATCATGCATTGATTGCCATCACATACATATATATAAATATCTCTTGTAATCAAATGGACACTATCAATTCTATAATGAATCGAAATATAATACATTGAATTCACCAATTGTATAAAACATAAATATTTCAGAAACGTCAGGAACATATGTCACTTAATCCAAACAGGAATTTGCTATGCCAGGGCATATAAATCCCAATAAGATTAACCAAATCCACAGACAAATCTCTCTACACTTTCTCACTCTAAAAATAAGTCTTGAATGATTGAATTGATTTAGGTTTGATTTTTGATTAGGAAGTGTTATTAGATATGAAAAAATGTAGATTTGTTTTGCAGAGGTGTGGAATTGGATAGAGAAATTAAAGAACATGGACGTGTTGAGCCCTAGAGCTATCTTCGCCTTCCTCCATTTGCTTCCCATTCATGTTCGATCTGAACTTTCTAGAGAGAGAAAACACGTATTCAAATCTTCGATTGATCTGAATCCAACGCAAGAACAGATCTCCAAATGCTCGTTCTTGGCTGCTCTCTCTCTAGCTCTATACCGAACTATACATATGCGTATCTTGGCCCAAAGTTGTAATTGATTTAATCCCAAAGTCTATAAAATTAAAAAAAATTTAAAAAATTAAAAAAATAATTAAAAAATAAGAAATAATAAAAAATAATAATTAATGGGTCTACGGGTTATAACGGGTTGACCTTGTCCATTTTAACTCGCCCATTTTTAACCCGTTCTGAATGAATTGAATATGGATCTTAACCCATATTAACCCGTTCATTTTTAATCCAACCCAACTCGCCCATTTGCCACCCCCAACTATTGCTAATGCCAACAACTAGGTTAAGCACGTGCAAGGCTAAAGGAGAGTTGCTAGAAATATGTCCAGTCATGCATGGTGGATTTACTAATAAAAAAATACCCCATAGTACCAGTCAGAACTTACAGGGTACTGGCGACACAAAGCAGTGAAAGACATGATGGGGGCAATGTCGTTCGATATGCTAGCTAGTGTCTTGGATCAAAGGTTAGTTTTCTTTATTTGTCTCCCCAACTTTAATTTACTTGTTTGTTGAGTTCATACTTGTATATTACAATTCCATTCCACAAAAGTATAATCGGTCCCATTTGAATAGTGAATGTTACAATGGTTAATATGAGAAGTGCAGCTGGTCGCACTTTTGACAAGCAGTATTTTTCTTTTATACATGATATTCAATTTCCTTATCTGTTTTTGTTTAGGCACCAACTCTACGCATGTAGGTACCACGCTTGTGCAAGGAAATACTATCCCTTTTTTTAGTATCACTTTTTGTATATACACCAGGGAATTAGATTATTTTTCAAAATAGTAAAAAAGATAGTTTTGGCATCTACTTAAAATTCACTTACACTTTTTTTTTCAGGCACAATACTTGCTATTCACGGGTGAATAGTTCATTTATAGTGACCGCTGAAGTGATCCAATCACAAATGCACACATAAAGAGGCATTTTTATAATTTTAAAATAATAATTATATTAAATAGCAAGATTAACCGTCTCTTGGGATGTGGCTAGTCCGTTACTTTTGGGGTAGTCACGGTGCGGTTACGTCCTTTTTGTACTAAAACTAAGCTAGTGCGCCTCTGGTCGACTAGTTGTATTTTATGAGCTTCTACGCTAGCAATCCGCGTGATTGTGTTTCTTATGAGATTTTTATCCGAGAAATTATGATGTCAGTTTCGTGATATCTACCTCTGGAAGGTTATCTTTGATATTTTTGACTGTTTTACCCTTAAAGGTTATTGAAAAATACGTTTTTGGGGTCCATCCGAAGGTTTTTGGACATTCTAGATGCATTGGTGGCGTTCATTTTCCAGAAAAATGCTTTAATCAACAAGTTTTAGTTTGAAATTACTTTTTTTCTCCTTGAATTAGTACAACCAAATACTACGGTTCTCCGACCATGATGAACCTTAGTGTGAAATTAATCTTTCATCTTCTTTCATAGTGAAATTTTTTTATGCGCTTCATGAACATAATTAAGAATTTGGGTGAACCAAGTATAACTTGTGTTGATTGTGTGTGATATAAAAATTAGTCTAGTACCAATTTTGTGCATGTAGGTAACATATTTGTGTACGTAGGTATTACTTTTTCTACAGTACTAGAGTACCACTTTTTCTGCATGCCCTAGTGAGTGAGCTGGATCATTTTTCAAATTAGTAAAAAAAAATAATCTGAGCATCAGCTTCAAAATGGATAGTATTTTTTCATGTTGCATTTTGTTCAAATCTATTATTTCAAAAGTACATGATTTTAACTCCATAAATGATAAATAATAATCCAAAAATCTATGTATACTAATTATTCCATTATTTTACTGGTCTCCCGCTGCTGTGGAGGTGAACAAACTGACTAAAGAAGGATTGCATAATGCAAAATAGTAAAATTAGAATTTAGTTTGCAAGAAATAGGGACATCTAGAAAAGTAAAAACATAAGTAAATAAGGCTAAAGGACTTGTTTTTAGTTTACACGTATATATTTAATTTGAGCACATATATGAATGTATAGGAAGATACAGCTACGTGTATGTATATAAATTTGTATACGCATGTTTGTCTGAGTGTGCAATAATTGTCTATATATATACCCTTAGATGAATTTACATGCATTCCATGCGCCTACAGCACCATAGAATACTTGTATGTGTAATTTTTTTCTCTTGTATGTTCTTATATAGCTGGACAGTGCACTTAAATATTTATAATTTTATGTGATTACTATTACCATTTACGTGCAGTGCAGTGCAGTGCAGTGCATATACGGTACTGGAATTATGTGTATGCGTATGCGTATGCGTATGCGTATGCATATATATTTTATATGTAATCTACTCCCACAATCAACTAACAATGTACTGTTAGATACTGCTTGTGCGAAAGATTGGGTGGCCGATCAAAGTTTTCATCTTTTATAGGAACAAAGCTTTTTGAGAGATTTTTCAGAGGAATCTGATTATATATTTTTCAACGCACAC